ACCTATAGCGCACACGCACCATCAGAGTTTGCACGGACGGTTGAGCGGACACAGTCCGGGGTTAACATGTTTCTAAATTGTATTGAATGGCTTGGACCCAAAACCATAAACCCCAGCAGTAGGCAGCGCCACCCAGACACAGTGGATGTCCCATACAACAAGCAGCGCACGCATCCTCGCAGGTACACGCACCTTATCAGAGAGCTGGCCATTTGGGCATAGCCCGATATTAATTGGACAGGACAGGACAGGACAATCATTGGCCCATCAGTATTCATTGTCATGGCGTAAAACCCTAAAACCCTACCCCCCAGTCACTCGATGTCAAGTACGGCGTTCTTTGCAACTTTCGAGGAACCAGCAATGCATTGTCATTACAGACGAGTCATAGTATGGCCCACAGTACATTACACCAAGAAAAAACCCAACAAGCAAAACCCTAAATACCCAACAAGCAAAACCCTAAGAACTCAACAAGCGCATCCCAGCCGTCGTAGCGACGAAAGCGCATGACCGGGTGACATGCCTGAGCTGAGCACACAGCATATACTGCGCACCCACAACACCACCGTGCACGGCAAGTGCTACATACATCTGGTCACAGCTGTTGCACGAATGTCGTTGGTGGTGACTTGATGATGGTGGCAGAAGGGGCTGCTTAGGCCAGTTTGCTGTGTTTAGGTGGTTGTACTTATACTACTTATGAATTAGGCAAAGAAAGCCTTGGCGCCATACTATACGAATTAGTTAAATACTACAGGTGACATGAATATTACACCTGCCGTGGGAGCGGCGAGGGACTGAAAGCTTTGCAACCAATTTAATTTTTAGGGAGGTTCCATCCTAAAATTTAGAAATTGTGAAATCATGGAAGTTTCTGATTGGCATGTTTTTGGCTTAAGCCTTTTCATTAGATTAGGACCGTGACAGACAGAAAACCTTGATACAAGTGCCAGGGACTCACAGCTACGCTTTCAGTGATAAAAACATATGCACCATATGAACAATAAAAAGCGTAACTATGCACCATATGAACAATAAAAAGCGTAACTATGCACCATATGAATAATAAAAACCGTAACCATGCACCATCTGAAAAAAAAAAGTAATCTATGCACCATACGAATAATAAAAACCGTAACTATGCACATATGGATAATAAAAACTGTAACTATGCTCCATATGAATGATAAAAAATGCATCTATGCACCATATGGATAATAACAACCGTACCTATGCACCATATGGATAATAAAAACCGTAACTATGAACCACATGGATGATAAAAACCGTATCTATGCACCATATGGATGATAAAAACCGTAACTATGCACCAATAACAAACCGTAGCTTTGCAATGTATCCTGTACACATGGATGTTTAATCAATTTCCTGTAGCTGACTTCACAAACACCATTCAATGGTATTGGAGGGTGAGGTACCCTGTCGTACTCACATGCTACATAAGGCTCACAGTTTGGGTGAATGTGAGGAGTGGTGTTTATGCACCGAGGTGGCTGAGAGTGTCCGCACGTGCCATGTGGCCCACCCGCCAGTGCCTTGCAGCAGTTGATCCGTGGGGTGCCCGTGTGGTTTGCGCTGTCTACTTCGTTTATGTTTGATATAATAACATCATTCCCCTTTCTCCGATGTACTTCTGCTCTCGCAGCAGCCAGTTGCACCTCCTTGTCCTTGGCAAGCCATATACCAGAAACTCATCCTAACCCAAACCCCGAATCTAGCCCAAAATATATAAAGTAAGGCCCTCTTATTCTCTTGAGCGGGTAGCACTGCTTGCAGTCTCAGTTGACAATCGGCACAACCTGTACTCGAGAACAGGACAGACCAGCACACCACACAAACGGGTGCCATTGCACACCACTTATGATGCCACGAGACGTCTCGATTGCCGACTGGTTGGCAAAACCATTTAGGAAAACCCTAAACCCTAAAACGTCTCAGCAGCAGCCCATACGACGCACGCAAACGAGACAGGACTAGGCATCAAGAGGCACACCTCGCTTCGGTTAAGGTGTATGTCCTTCGCATGACAACAAGCACTAAATGGGACATTGCACCCAACTCAGGCCGCACCTCGTAGGCTAGGGCAGGACTGGCCATGAACCCTTTTTGCAAGCGACGCGGTATGCACGGCACTAGAAGAACATAGTACCAGACGCCGCGCCTTTGACGTTGTTTGCGGCGCTGAATGCTTCAGCAACCTGAGAGGAAAATCGCAGTAGTGTGAGAAACGATGTCTATGGCAAAGGTATAGGGGGATAAAACCACCCGACAAGCCCCTCGATACAGCTTACACAAGATGTATGCATCTATACAGACACCTATCCATCCATCTTACACAAGATGTATGCATCTATACAGACACCTATCCATCCATCTTACCAAGATGTATGCATCCATACAGACACCTATTCATCCATCTTACACATGATGTATGCATCTATACAGACACCTATTCATCCATCTTACACAAGATGTATGCATCTATACAGACACCTATCCATCCATCTTACCAAGATGTATGCATCTATACAGACACCTATCCATCCATC